AGAGATTTGGAGAGCAAAGAAGAAATGGATACACCAAGAGTTCGTGAATGAGGACTGTGAAATAGATCATAAAATCACGGGCGGCTAAATAAAAGGATAGGAGGTTAGTTTGATAGGCGATGATATAGAATTTGTCAATTTGGTACATCTACAGGAGATCTCCAGCGTCGGCTTAGGAAACAAAGACTCGAAGGGAAAGAAGAGATATATACTCTTTTATTGACAACTAATTGAGTGCATTGGGGTGGATAAACGATACATTCATTTCTCTTTTCCTTTAGAAAAAAAAAACTAAAACTACATTAAAAAACTAAAAACGTGATCATAAAGTTTGGTGGGTTTCTACTCAACTTTTGAAGTATGTTCTTTTTTCGGGGCTAATCACATTATTTAAAGCTATTATCCTACTAAAATGATTTTATTTTTGTTTTTCCGTTGCATTGTTGTAATATTTGACCAAAACATTGTTATAATTTATAAATATATGAACAAATAATGAATTTTTTTATATATTCGGGTAAAAGTGGACTAAAACGATTGGACCATTAGCCTTCAACCTACTTAATCAAACGCGCTAACGAGCTCAAACGGGTTGACAACCTTTGATACTTTGAAATCCAGATATTTCTGAAAGATTTGGGTTTCAATTTTTATGATTGAGTCAAATCGATCAATAATTGTGGACTTTCAGAGAGAGGTTGAAATTCAAAAGTCGGACTTCGAGGTTCTTTCGTGACAGACAAGTTTTTACGTTTAATTATTGTTGAGTCGAAGGAAGAGGAAGCGGTACAGATGGAGGATGGGATTGTGGCTATTAATTATTGGGAGTTGCAGATGGAGAATATATGTCATAAAAAGTGGATAAACTTAATTTGATAATACATGTATACTATATATTACGATGACATGTTTGATGTGAAAAATAATAGAGGGATAGATTTGAGAAAAATGGAACTATTAAATCCAGATCATAGTTGGTAAAATACGGTACGAATATGTATAAAATACGTATGGGTATTATACTTCGTCTTCATGCTAATATTACTTAACGGATGGAGGATGGGATTGTGGCTATTAATTATTGGGAGTTGCAGATGGAGAAGATATGCCATAAACTGGATAAACTTAATTTGATAATACATATATACTATATATTCCGATGGCATGTTTGATGTGAAAGATAATAGAGGGATAGATTTGAGAAAAATGGAACTATTAACTCCACATCATAGTTGGTAAAATACGGTACAGATACGTATAAAATACGTACGGGTATTATATTTCATCTTTATGCTTATATTACGTTTAATAGTACGTTAATAGTGATAAATATATTAAATTAATTATTTTATAAATATATATTTTTTCTAATGCCAAACCCAAATTTCAATGCAAGAGAAAAGAAGAGTTGACCATTGAGATTGGCCGGAGCTAAACCATATAAATCTAACGGTCAGATCATCCGGAGCATACTATGCTCCTGGAGCATACCAGTTGTCTCCAAACATATATATATATATATGTATATATATGACAAAGGCTAGCGTATACCTGGTGTATGGCGTACGCCTGTGTTCACACCTATTAATTATTTTTATTATTATTAATTTCCTTAAAATAATTAATAGGTGTGAACATAGGTGTACGCTAGCCTGAACCACACATATATATATATATATATATTGGCGTCTTTGGTGCACACACTTTTTTGGGTGCATTCAGTGCACTCACTTCATAACCGTCATTTTAAACATGCGATTTATGTCAAAATGATGTCATTCATCACTTATAATGTGGTGAACAATAACGCACACGAATTTGCATAAAAACCATTGAGATTTACTTTAATTTGAAAGATTTAGAGTTTAGAGATTTAGGGTTAGGGTTAGGGTTTACAATTTGGGGTTTAGGGATAGAACTCAAAATTGGAGATCTAGGGCTTAGGGTAATCCACTAATTAGTTGTTATTATATGTTATATCATCATATTACACAATTTCTACAAATTAAAATTCAAAATCCGACACCTTAAGACTAGTTTTTGAGTTGGGTGCATTGAACGCACTCATTTTTGTGAGTGCACCGAAGTAGTCACCATATATATATACATATATATATATATATATAATAGTAAATTTATCAATTTAATTCATTAAATATGGATATTAAACGTGTTATATGGGTTTTATACGTGTTTAGTACAGGAGTCGTCAAATGAACGGGGATAAAATAAAACAACTAGACAATAATATGGATACAGAAGTTTTAAATGGATAAAATATGTACAGGTACATATACATGTTAGTAGAGTAGAATTTAAGGTTTTATAATGTTTGGATTTTCTTAACTCTTGTATGTGCATTAGTATCTAACACTTAACATCTCATACTTATTATTCAAACAAGCTTATATAGTAAATTATAATAATTTATACAATAAGCATTATGTTTTCGTGTTCTTCCATATTTGAGATTTCTACGCATAATATTTTTTTATTCTCTTGATTTTCTTACATACCTTCAATTCCTATCATTCTAGATGACATATATTTTCTTTCAACTCTAAATTCATATCCGATAATAAAAAATTCTCAAATTTTTTCTAAGATATGAAAAAAAAACCAGAACAGTAAACTAGGTTGACTTGTTAAAGTAAATACATATTAACTAATTATTGCTAATATCTTAATCAACAAATATCATAAAGATTACTTAGAAATAACAAATTAAAATTTTTAGAAAACTTCAAATTATGTATAAACAAAAACATGAAAAATTGATCAACATAAAATTAAATAAAGTTCATTCGACCAATAGGTCAAGTAAATATTTTAAATATAATTATAAATTAACTAATATAAAGAATAAAGCAAAACTCATTCGGTCAGGGTAGAATAAAGGCTAGTTCTTTGATGTGGCCCGTAATTCATCTATTGAGCTCTTGAGCTTTTGTAAATTCGATGAATCAGTCTAGCCCCGCTTGGAATCATTCACCCCCGCTTTTATTGCTTCCTTTCTTCCTCGGTCATTCTGGCAAATATACACCTATCAGGCTGTTATGCATGATTTTTCCTAAAAGATCTACTTACCATCCATTAAAATTGAAACACAGAAGCTTCAGTTGCTGTCAAGATCGCGACTGAACTTTTTCAATTTTCATTTTTTCCCCTTTGAAATTTGAATTGATGAGGCCCGTATGCTTTACCGCAACACCGTCGGTATCGATCATTTTCCTTTAAATCTCCGCAGTACTCCACACATCGTGTCGGGCATTACCGGCAATCTTGCTCAGATAGTCAGATTAGTGGCCGTCATTTAGCATGTGGGCCAGCGCCGCATATAAGGCTGGCACTTAGGCTAGCTCCAACCCATGGTGTCAAATTGCTATAAAGCCATATTTGGCTTTTTTTCTTCCTCCAACCCACAAAAAAATTGGAAGCCAAAAATGGGTATTGGGTTTTTGGAAGGGAAATATGGCTGGGTTTTGGGGTGGGGAGTGATATTTGGCTGCCAAAAAGTGGATAACAGGTCACGTCCGGCGCCTTCTCCTTCCAGCTGACCTGTTATCCTTTTTTTTTTCTTTTAACTTTTGTTGGTTGGGAATTTGGGGAGCCAATTTGTTTTGGACTTTTTTCTTCTATTCTCATTGGTGGTTTGTGATTCAATTTGAAATATAAATTTGAAATAATTGATGTAGTGACGAAAAAACGGTCATATTTTAACGGCCATAAAAAAACGGTCATATTTTAACGGTCATATTTTTTCTTATATATTACAGCACTCTTCATAGATTTCTCTTCACTCATTCTCAGAGCATAAATCACATTCTCTCAAATTCAATTGTTATCGTCTCTCAAAATAGGAATATGACAGGCAAGAGAGGACCTAATTGGCGTCCGAATGAAGATGAAATCTTGTGCAGAGCTTGGGTGTCGATATCAGAAGATGGAGCGGTTGGTACCAACCAGAAGTATACAAGGTTGTGGGAAAGAGTGGCGGCAGAACATCAAAAATGGGATCCTACTACAATTCGTACTGCTGTTGCAATGGAATCCCGAATGAGGATTATTTGCTATCACTGCAATGCTTGGAAGGGAGTTTTGCAAAGAGCACAAAGGCATCAATCGAGTGGCACGAACCAGTTTGATGTGGTATTCTTTCGGACCCTCAACTTGTGTATTTTCTTATTTTTATATGTGTCAATATAAACTTCTCTAACCCATGTATTACATATTTTATTAGGAAAAGGAGGCAAGAGCAATATATAAGCAAGAGAATGGGAACAAGGCTTTTGATTTTGAGCATTGTTTCGAAATTCTCCGAAATTGTCCAAAGTGGTACTCCAATCCTGACCCGAAGTTTTAACGGTAATATTTTAACGACTAATTTTTGAAAAAAAAATTATCTCGGAATTTAAAAAAAATTACATCGAAAAATTTGTATTCAAAAGTAATAACGAGCTATGAAAAAATTAAAGTGAAATATAAAAATAAGAGGTCAAATAAGTATGGTTTATTGAAATAAATTGAAAAAGGGAAATGGGAAGCTAAATTTAGCTTTTTATAGGGTTGGAGTGAAAAGTGAGTTTGGGGAGCTAAAAAGCCATATTTGGCCATTTGGGGAGCTAAATTCCCCTTTATGGGTTGGAGTTAGTCTTAGCCTCTAATTAAGGCCGGCCTTCAGGGCCCATTACAAACTGATGGTTTGAGATAATTGGATCTGAGCTTTAATTAAGCTCATTGCATATAGTGGTCCAGTATTGATATTAGGGGTGGCAGTCGGTCGGTTTCGGTTTAACCGAAAACCAAAAACCCGGTTATCGGTTAAACCAAATAACCTTCTATAGCTGTCGACCACCGACCGTGAGAGGTCCCAGTTAGCCGGCCAATCGACCGGTCGGTTTCGGTTTTAGGCTCGGTTAGCCGGCCAACCAGAAAACCACCTTTTCTAAATAAAAAAATAATAAAAAAATACAAAAAATTTGCACCACACCCACCAAACCTTATCTCCTCCTCTCTTCTTCCTTCCTCCACCAAACCTTATCTCCTCTTCTCGATTTTCTCCTTCCTCCTCTCTTCTTCCTCCTCTCTTCGAATCCAGGTCTGCCCTTCCTGAATTCGAATCCGAATCCAACTCCACCGGTAATCACAATCCTAAACCTCCGGCGATCGAGATCCGCAGGTACCCGGCCGGAGACCGACCTCCTCTGGAATATGCCCGAAGATCCGCGGTTGGAGGACTGAACAACAGGAGAAGAGCCGGACAAGGAACTGGTGACGGCAGTGCGGGCCTCAGAAGGGCCGAGGCGGGAGAGAGTGGGCTGGAGGATGAAGAAAGTAGAGCCGATTAGAACTCCGACGAGGACGAAGAGGAGGCGCTGCTCGCGGAAGAGGTAGTCGACGACGATTGAAGGGCTGAGATGAAGGTTCGACATCGGCGATGCAGAGGGCTGGAGGTGGCTGGGGATTTGGGGGATGGGGGCTGCTAGAGTTGGGGATTTGGGGGATGGGGTGTTTTACTTAGGCAAAAACGGCATCGTTTCGGTTAGCGTCGGTTAGCTGGTTTAACCGCCGTCGATTTTTGGCTACCGTCTAACCACGGAGCGCCTCCGACAACCGACCGTGCCCAATTTTTTTCGGTTTCTGGTTAGCCACTAACCGGCGGTTAACGGTTAGACCGGCCAGTTAGCCGCTAACCGGCAACTGAAATGACAGCCCTAATTGATATCAATCTGACTAATTGGGCCCACGTTCTTGCACGTTCTACCTTCGTTTTCTCTTCATGGTGATTTGGTTCTGGTACTGCTGAACGTTAGTAGCGAACCCATAAATTTTTTATAGGGGGTCCTCTTTTAAAAATAATAAAAATAAAAATAATATAATTAATAAAAATAAAATGTAAATAAGAAAATACCTTACTCGTACAGGTTAAGTCCATTATGTGTTTTCATATTCTGAAATAATTGTAGAATACACTTGGTGTCTACAATGTTAAAAAGAAATTGTCTCTATATACCCTACTAGACAATCATTCACGAACTTATCGCATATTCGATTTGTAAACTTGTTTTTTATGTAACCCAAAGCTGAAAGACTCTTTCAACACTTGTTGTACAACTATAAAATCAATACAAATTAAGGGTAGGTTGAAATTAGTTTAATTGCTATGTTTTGAAAATAATTAGAGATAGGGAATGCAGTGTTCAAAATCAAACAACAAATGAGTTGTAGTTTAATGAAAATTAAGTGTATTAATAATAATAGTGCTCTAGGTTTGAATTACCCAACCTATCACTTATATTCTCATACACAAATTAAAAAAATGACAGTAAAATAATCATTTTTTTCAAATTTCAGGGGTGTCTCACACTATCAATTATATTTTTTATCAATACATAAATTATCACCGTGGATTGAATAATCATTTTCCCAAAATTTACGGGTGTCCCGGGACACCCTAAAGCACCGTGCGTCCGCCACTGAGACTACTCTTATCCATTGCCAATTTGCCATCCGTTCACTCCTGTAGTGTGTGGACTGGAACCCGTTGCTTCGACATGGACTTGTGCCAAAATATATTGTGACCAATCAACTCGAAACTTATGGTGGCCTATTTTGAGTATTTTCCCAAAACTTCAAGTGGCGGAAAATGTAGCCTAACAAAGGCACCCTTTTAACTACTTAAACTAACTTCTACTCATTAATTTATGGTTGTTAGGAGCAAGATAGCATGACTATGCCAATTGGGTATGGTTTTTGACACCCCTCTAGCAGCCGAACATTTCCTACTATATCTGATGACCAAGATTAATTGAAGGGATAATTGAGTGGTTGTTTGGAGAATGAGATTTAGTACGTGGATTTATTGAATCCGTATATTTTGTAGAAAGTTATGTTTTTTTATTGCTTTTTGTATTGTGAATTTTAGCTTTAGAGATTTTAAATCTCTCAAATCTATAGATATCAAATCTCTCATAATCAGAGAGATTCAATATCTTCATTTGATTCGTGAGATTTTTTTTCTCCTACCTTTTCATTTTCTTTTATTTATTTATCGTATTAAATATATTTACTAACAAAGTTTTTAATATTTCTCAAACTACTCTAATTTTTTATTAAGGATAAACATGTTATTTAATATAAAATTTTATTTTTTATTTTCATTAAATGTTAACAATCATAGTTACCAAACAATAAACATTTTAAAATCTATTTTCAACAATCTGAAGAATTAGAATCTTTAGATTGTTGACAATCTATAGATTTAAACTCATATTCTCCGAACGACCCCTGAGTTGTTGTTTAAAAATCTTTAAATGGGGATGGTTCTCATAATAACTAGTCTTTTGCATTGGGAAGGAGCAATCACGCTGGATGCGAAAACCGTCCATTGCTCTCCCATATTCTCATATTTCCTCCCGAAAATATAGCAACCCAACCCCCTCCTCTGTAGAATTTGAAGGCGGCCAGAAACTAGGGTACACACGTGGGTGGTTAATCCGCGGATTGATATCAACCCACCCGCAAACAATCCGACCCGCAAGCAGTGGGTGATTGATGTGGGTGGATTGCGTATTGATAAGTCTCTCACCCGCACTTATGTGGGTGGGTGGTGGGTGGATTGCGGATCACCCGTATGACCCGCATCCAATTTTTTTCACATGAAAAAATATTGTTTCTTATAGTATTAAATATTCATCATATTTTCGAACCGCACTACAGTCTGACCATATACTTCAAAAGGTAGAGAATAAGGAATAGTTTTAACTACTATTATTGGTAATTGTGTTGTGCAATATCCATTAGATATTGGATATTGGGATGCAAAGTATTGTTAATATTCATTAAATATTGGGATGCAAACTATAAATTATTAATTGATCAAAATCACAAATTGCACAAGTTTTCTCTACACAGTTGGTTGATAGAGTAGTAAGATTTTGATGCAAATACTACATGGATTCACTTGAGACAATGTGAGAAGTGTCTAAAATGATACAGTCTTACTAATTTGTTTTGAACTTAATTATAAATGTTAGTCAACCTTTTAATTGCTAGTTGGAGAATTGCTCTTAAGGGTTTGTCCGCGACCCAACCGCACCCATCCGCCAGCCACCCACTCCAACCCGCAGAAGAATGTGGGTGGATTGCGGGTCACAATTATTCCAAATCGCTAGTTAGCGGGTGAGTCAATGTGATACCAAAATCCATCCAACCCGCCCATTGCCCACCCCTACTAGAAACCATCAGGCATCGCCGCGATCGAATCCCCTCCGACCCCTAGTGGATTGCTCGCCGCCGGAGGACGAGACGCAGGAGATATCACTAGAGATCGAGCTGACAAAGGCCACGCAAGGAGGGAAGACGGCTCTGAGATTCCGAGCGGCGGTTCTGGGCATACCAAGAACAACGGCTCCTATGGCAGCATCGAATGACGGAGAGGTAAAAACGAGATCATACTCGCTTCATGACCGTCGGATGGACTGCTGGCCGCCGAGGGAGATGTCAGGAACTAGTAGGAAAGAATCGATTGAAGGCGTGATTAGATCACTCTCCTTAGAGTGTTATTTTCCCCCACAACAAATTGTTTGTAGGCTCGAGCAAACCACCCCCAGGAGTCCATTCAATTCTAAGTCTGGAAGCAGCAACCTTGCAGACTTCTGTGTTTATGAAATAGAGAAGGAAAACAGGAAGAAGAAGTAATCCCTCGTCATCAAAAGAGTTATGGCAGTCCTCTATTTATACTTGTGAAAACTTGAAGTTACCTCCGAAGAGACACAACCTTTCACAGAGAAAAGGTAGTTACCTTTCCCGAAAGGACACATCCTTTCATAGAAAATAGGTAGTTACCTTTCCCGAAAAGATACATCCTTTCACAGAAAAGAGAAGTTACCTTTCTGAATGGATACCTCTTTCACAATATTCAAATGATAATTAGTTAATATAACAATTAATTAATTAAACTGCCAAAAGACTCGATTCTTATACTTTCCTTCTCCCATCAATGTGGTATTACAACTCTATTGACTAACTCTAACAATCCACCACTTAGTCAACAAGAGTTGAGAATACCTACCTCGAACAAGTAACGCATACATAAAGGTATCTTTTCGATTTGAACCTTTACCTAGTGTAAGCAACTCAAAGTTGATAACGAATCAGTGACGGGCTTAAGCCTAGGAGTCACGATCCAAAGCTATAACTGGAGATGTGACTCGCACGAAACTACACCACAAATTAATCACGACTCGAGCCCAAGTTTTTAAACTCTAGCCGGGTGCAGTATAGAGCAAGTATATAAATTGTCAACCCAGGCTGATCCATGTACCCCCTACTTCAATCGCTTAGGTTGTTATCTAGCAAGAAACTTTTAGGTTTATAACTAATGGAACTACAAACTAAACTAAAGGAAAAGTAAATAAAAGAAAAGTCTAACTAAGGGAGCTTCACCCAGGAATTGCTTCCCCCTAACTAGCTACCATGACTTGTTGGATTGAATGAAGTCGTGAGGCGTAGGTGGTTGTAAACCTCGGGGGTGAGCAACTAGTGATCAATCATTCACGGCATCAATTCACTAGCGATCGATTTGTCACGGGATCGATCCACTCACCAAGTCTAGGGGAACCACTAGGAGGAGCAACTAGTGATCCATTTGTCACGGGATGGATTCACCGGAGATCGATTTGTCACGAGATCGGTCCTCTCACTCATTCACTAGTAGTTGCCTAGGCTTCTCCCTCAAACCGGAGTTCGAGCAGCTTAATCACAACCAACCTAGATGCAAACTGGTAACCGCGAACCGCAGAGGGATGCATATGTGTTCGAAGACCACAATCTCAATTGCTAAATCGTGGTAAGCAAGAAAGGCCGTGTCACTCGACCCTCTCGGTTTAGACAATCGGTAGTTGACTTACTCCCTCACTCAACTCTAAGGTCGGAAGGCTTAATCGCGATTAACTGACTTTATTAACTCAATATTGAGGGTTGCCCTAACTTAACCTAGTTTAGGTGGCTTAGAAAGAGGAAGGAAAACCAACTCGATTGAGTCTCCCTTCGAAGGGGGATTTTCCTCTCTAAGCTAGGCTAAGGTGGCCAATTAGATTGCTAGATCCAACATGCACAAAACTAAGGGTGCTAAGCACAATTATGCACAATCCTTAGATTGCTAAGCACGAGCATGCACAATCATCATGAAAACACCTCTAATACTCAAATTGACGCAAACTCACACTTAATCATTCAATCTAAACAAGTAATTACAAAGTATTAGTTAGAGATCTACAACACCCAAGAAAAGAGTGATTTTCTAGAGAGAGAGAGAGAGAGAGGGATTACAATTTTTAGCTCAATATATTCTTCTTCTAGGCTTGAATCTTCCACCCAAATCTCCAATGATGCTCCAAATCACTCTAGCACTCTCTCTCTCACGCTAGAA